CTACATCCATACGGCAGTAATTACACTCCCAGGGCAGAGCAGATCACCGCTGAGCAGCAGCCGGCACAGGGAAGGAAAACTGCTTCCCACAGCCCACTGCCTCAGCCTGTGACGAACGAGCGCCTCCCCCGGGCAGAGACCCGCTCAGTTCTTGGGTCACCACGCTGCCCGCCACCCCGAGGCTGGACAGTCGCTGCTCACCTTGCCCCAGGTCGGGGCCCCGGCCCCATCCTGTGTCCAGCCTGGCCCTGCCAGGGTCCCTCTCTCCCCTTCCCTTCTGTTGCCTGGAAAACCTGAACCACCCACAGCAAAGAACGGTGTCCAGACCCGGGGAGAAGTCTGGGCAGGGCCGTGGGAAGGAGGCCTCTGGGATGGCAGGGGACGCAGGCGAGCCCCAGCACATCTGCCACGGACCCGTCAGCTTACTGACGACACCTACAATCAAAGACGAGCTGGCCGCCTCAGCACTGCCGTGCGTGCACGCGCCGTGTGCCCCGAGGCGGGCTGTGCACGGTGCCACGGGCATGTGGACACTAGACAGCGCATCCAAGGTGCCTAGGAGCATCAGAGTCCCACGTAGGATAACTGAGTAAAATAAAGTGATTCAAACACTTGCCATTGCAGCTGAGCGGTAGACTGTGTGCCCAGAATACACGGCCCTGGGTGCCATCCCCAGCCCCTCACAAATAAGCCTCCCAAGCTGATGAACGTATTAAAATCTATCCTGTGCTTTCATTTTAATTAAATCTCACAGCGTGCCTATTTCAAGGACAATTTGCATAAATGGGTATATTAAGTGCAGCTCATCACGGTGCACCTGTACACAATTTTGAGCTATAGAGGAAGAAATATTTACTTAAACTGTAATATCTCCATCTCTTGCCAACTTATAGGCATATGCATTCATACCTACGTTGGTGCTTGACTGCTTTGAAACTCACTGAATTTAATACTTGGTGTATTTTGATATGAAAAAATATATGTGTGTGTGATACATGCTTGGGATCGAGCACAGGGCCTCACACACGCGGAACATGCTAAAGAGCTCTGCCGCCAAGCTACCTTCTCACCTCCCTAGATCTGCTCTTCAAACTAGCAGGGAAGGAGTGGAGGTGTAGCAGACCAGAAAGCCTGCGTAACTGCCGAAGCCCGTACCAAGGACATGTCCCAGGGGTACGATGGCTGTCGTTACTTGAGTTAACAGTGCACGGCTGCTGTAGCGCATGTAAGTACCTTAAAGACAAACGGGTATTTCTTACAGTCTTACCTCTCCCATTTCTTGTCTCAGTTGTTCAAATTCCTGTTTTTCCATTTCTAGCTTATGCTTCCGTTCCTCTTCTGTTCGTCGTTTTTCTTCTTCCATTTTTTGTTTTAATAACTCTTCAAAATTAATTTCCAGTTTTCCCGGCGTAAGAGATTCTTGAGAGATTGTTTTATATATCTCTGGGGAATCATCATCTACTACCTATTTAAAATAATACCATTTTTGTCTTCTATATACATAAAAGGGGACTATTTATACAAACTGGGATTACTTGAATAGAAAGGTTTCACACTGAACTAAAACCCTGATCAAAATTCTGTTCAAAAGTAATGACCTAGGGAGGAATTATGAGAAAATGTAAAAGTAATAAATAAGAGAAGAGTTGGTGGAAAATGTAAGATATTTTGTGGTTACAGAAGAAATGGTAACCATCTATTCCCCATTCCAATAAACATGAAATACTTTGCTTTTATATTAGGAGTACTTTGAATTAAATATTAATATTTCATTAATATTGAGAACATTTTAATGGATTAAAATGAATCTCCACTCTGGTAATTAAAATAGAACATTTCATTTAAGAGCTGATCTTCTCTGAATAAACAGCCCAGTATGAGCTTTTCATAAGCACATACTACAATTTCATTGTACTGATTTATGTGCTGCCAAGATAACTTTGAAGAAATAATATTTACTTAGAGCTTCTAGGTAGAGTTATAAGCAGTTTACATTTTGACTTGTTTAATCCCTTAACCTTATGAAGGTAGTTATTAATATCCTCATTTTGTGGGCATGAATGAGAAACTATAACTGTTTCTGGCTCCTAAGCTTCCGGTCTGTGCCTTTAGGCAGCGGAATAAGTCGAACACTTGTATATGTGTTCGAAGCTGCCCAGGCAGAGGAAGAAAAATAGTTTATCACTAAAGTCAGTTAAAATGTAACAAGAAAAGGGTGCAGGGTTCCTGTGTGAAACTACTTGAAAATACTCCTGTCGGTGACACAGGAAGGGTCACTTTGTGACAGGAGTCAACATCCAGGAGCGGTGGGTGAGCGCCTGGAGAGTTAGTTATCAACGGGCCCCTTGCTCAATGCGCACAGGGTGGGATGAAGGTCGAAAAGAAAGAATGGAGCGTGTTGTGGTGGCGCAGCCTGTAATCCCAGCACTTGGGAGGCTGAGGCAGGAGGATCATTGCGACTTCGAGACCAGCCTGGGCTACAAAGTGAGCTCAAGGCCAGCCTGAGCTGCATATCGAGGCCCCGTCTCAAAAAGACAAAAAAAAAAAAAAAGAAAGCTAGAATGGAAGCAGCAAGGTAGGGGAGAGACGCGGTGTGACAAAGGGTGGGGGAAGGGCAGAAAGGCGGAATGGTAGAGTGGGGTTCCCTGCTTCTCCCTTGGGGCTCGGTTCTGGAAACCTGCCTTCCCGAGAAGGAAGGGATATGCGGTCCTTCAGCCAGCCGTGCAGCTCACTGGGCAACTTCCGACGCCGCCCTGAAGCAAGCAGCTTGACCCACGGGAGGCTGCAGCCCCTGCTCGCGGTCCTGCTCCTGGCACAGGTCCTAGAGATGACCGCGCCCCGCAGCCCGCCGCCGCCTGCGAGCCTCGGAGCCCTCCCGGTGGGGCGGGTGCCTACCATGCTTCTCCTGGCTTCAGCAAAGGCCCTCTTTTCCTCCTCTATTCTCCTCCGGGCGTCTTCTTCTGCTTTCCTTTTTTCCTCCTCTCTCCGCTGTCTTTCCATTTCCTCAAAACTGAGTTTGAGTTTACCAGGGCGGTACTCCTTAAAATTCTTTCCCGTGGCTTGGTTTTCCTCCTCTTCATTGACCTAACCAAAGAAACAATTCATCACTGAGAACTGCGGTGCATTAACAGAAATGATGCCGGGCCTGGTGGCACACAACTATAATCCCAGCACTGGGTAGGCTGAGGCAGGAGGGTTGCTGTGAGTTGCAGGCCAGCCTGGGCTACACAGCGAAACCCTGTCTCAAAAAGACCTCCCTCCCAAAAATAAAAACAGTAGTTAGCTGTTGATCACAAAGCACAGAACTAGCTGCTTCAGAGTGGAGTGTTTAATTCCCTTAATATACTCAGCCAAAATCTCCTTCCCTTTTACCAATAGGAAAAATATTCTGCATAAGATACAATTTTTTTGTTTGTTTGTTTCTTTGAGACAGGGTCTCACTATGCTGTTCAGGGTGGCCTTGAGCTCACTTTGTAGCCCAGGCTGGCCTTTAACTCACAACGATCCTCCTGCCTCAGCCTCCTGAGTGCTGGGATTACAGGTGTGTGCCACCACGCCCGGTGATAAAATATTTTAAATGGGAAAAATACCAAATGGAGATTTACTCAAGTTAAATAAAACTCCATCAAGTCAAGCTCTAAACAAAATGAAACATTTCAAAAACTTCGAAGGGATCGTACTGAGCATTAACTCAAACATAGACTATACGTGTGTGTACTTAATTTGAGCCCAAGGTTAACCTACGTGGAGCCTTTTTGGTAGTAAAATGGAGTTCTCATTTTGTAATTTTTAAGGCGTTTTTTTCACTGAGCACTATGACACTTTTCCTCATACTGATCAGATTATTACCTGGAACTATTTTACAGAAAATTCACATCTGGGCTGGGCTGACCTTCAGCACTAGAGCGCTTACCTATCGTGAAGCCTTGGGTTTGACCCCAGCCCCACCAAAACCAAACACAGTATTCAAATTTCATGGTTTTGGGTAGAATTAATTTAAATATGAATTGAAAAGTATTATTTGGTTATTATATTTCTGTTTCTTTAAGTTGACTACCAGCGATACATAAAATGTAGTTATGCAACCACATACAAAAATAGCAATATTCTCATTAAATGTCTTGAGAATTTTTTAAAAATCACTGAACTTAGGTATTTACTTATTTATTTAACATCTACCTCCTCCACGAATTGCTCCTCAAGGGTAAGAATCTTTTTTAATTTTTACTTTTATTAGTGCACGTGTGCAGCATATAGTATTTTCATTACTGGGGGGGATGGTACACATGCATAACACATCTGCATTCCTTTCACTCCCCCCTCCCCGTCTCCTGGTCCCCATCCCTTTTGCAAATGACCTGTCCCCTTATTTCCTATTATCTATCTTATATTTTGCTCTTTATTTATAACTTCAGGTTCTCATAGAAGAGAAAACGTGATATTTTAGCACTTGTGTCTGATTTATTTCACTTAACATTATGGTCTCAAAGTGCATCCACTGTCCTACAAATGCAGGGTGTGCTGACGCATGCCTGTAATCCCAGCACTTGGGAGGCTGAGGCGGGAGGATCGTTGGGAGTTCAAGTTCGAGGCCAGGTATCCTGGGCTACAAAGTGAGTTCAAGGCCAGCCTGAACTGCATATCGAGACCCTGTCTCAAAAGAGACAAAAAGAAACAAACAAAAAATCAAAGCGCATCCATTGTCCTACAAATGACCCAAATTTATCTTTCTTTATGGCAGAGTACTACAGTGCTCCTTTATATTTTAAATACCAAACTTCTTTATCCATTCATCTGTTAGGATTTTTGAGATCTAATGCTTAGACTATCATTGCTGAAAACTGATTAAGAAAGTTGTGGTAACTTTACAAATTACAGATGTTCCATTTTCAAGTTCTCCAAATGAGATTGGGAACTTGTGTTTTTTATTTCAATTTTATTCTTTACTGATAAAGCTATTAATACCATACTATGAATAGTTAACGCATTTAGCAAATGCCAGCACTACTTTAAGTGCTTTCTAGTTTTAACTCACCTAACCATTTAAGAAGTAAGCACAATCACCTTCACCACTCTAGCAATGAAAGCAAGACATACGGAGCTTAAGTAACCTGCCTCTGCTTATCCCGTTAATTAGCAGTGGATGTCTGAATCCGAGCAGCACGGTTCCCTATCTGCTCTTAACCGCACTGCACGGGCACGCATGCGCGCACACACCGCACACCTTACAGGGCAAAGCGCGAATTCCTCAGTACACTGTTACTTCCATGTGTTCAAACATTTGAAAACCGCACTGAACCCAAACATACACTCGTAGTGAGAGCTGAAAATGTCGTGCAGCTATGACGCTACATACACTGCACACTGAACTGCCGAAGAAACTAGGTTTACTGAGTCACTACTTTGTACACGTCTTCATGACAGCATAAAATAAAAAGCTGAAACAGAAAATGCCCCGAAGTTGAAACTTGAAAACAATACAGGTGTGTTGCATTCACAGATATGTGTGTGTGTTCTTCTCTGTTAGATATGTACATATATATCTATGTATAACTATATATATATACATAGTTATAAGAATCCAGCCCTTGTATGCAGCCAGCACCCCTGCACGCACGGTAATAACCCTCATCTAAAGCCACCTGGCTTCCCCGGTCCATAGGAAACGAGATTTCGGTAGGAGATTCCTCACCATCTGCCGCCTGGCCTCCTCGAAGGCTCGTTTCTCCTCTTCTAAACGCTGTCTGGCTTCCTCTTCTGCTCGCTTCTTTCGGTTTTCTTGTCTTTGTCGCTCCAGTTCTTCAAAAGTCAATTTCAGTTTTCCAGGGAACGGTGATTCTTTTCTTGCTTCATTTTCCATTTCATCGTCCTAGGAAAACGTGAAACCCACCTGTTAGCCATCAAGGGAAATGCTGTTAACTCAACTACTTTAATTTGTTCTGTAAAGGAAATTACCATGACCAACGAGAGACACTTCGCCTCCTTGAGAGAGCGTCGCTGTTCCTCGCGGCGTACTTTATCTTCCTCACACGGCAGCCTTTCTTTGTCTTCTTGTTCTTTTTCTGCATCCTCAAACGTCCTCATTTTCCCAGATGTTTTGTGTGACTTGACAGGCACCACTGTTATTAGCAGCGAGTCATCTCCTTCCTGTTTTGTAAGATAGATAATTAACTTACATCTTCGTGGTAAAAATTCAGGTCTTAGGGAACTTTACCTCCATCACTGCTGAATTTCATTACATTGCTGTCAGTTTTATAATGAAAAACAAGAAATTATGCTTCTTACTAATTACTTTTAGGTATCTTTCTCGAAATTTGCTGTGCTTTATTAATCTTACTGAAACCCACTGCTGAGGAGGTTCGCGAAGCATTCCATTCCCTGAAAGGTGGGGTTAATATCACTGATCAGGTGACAAGCTGCGGTGACACTGCCGGCTCAATCGCCCCAATCCCACGCCTGCTCGTGTGCGCGTGAGCGGGCTCTAAATCAATTTGATGGTGGATGGATTTAGTTTAAATACATGAAAAAATTTCTTCACATGATTCTTTATGCAGGTTTTCAAATACTTGATAAAACTGGTGTTTAATTACAAAGAAATGAGATAGCCAATTGATTGATTAAACTTTATAAATAAAAATCTTTAGTATTTATCTATTAAAATATTCTTTTTAATTTTTAATTGATTTCAGTTAGCCCTACTATATAATCTATTGTGTTTTGTTTTCTTGGTTTTTGTGGGTTTTTTTGCGACAGGGTCTCACTGCGCAGTTCAGGCTGGCCTTGAGCTCACTCTGTAGCCCAGGCTGGTCTCGAACTCACGACTGATCCTCCTGCCTCAGCCTCCCAAATGCTGTGATTACAGGCATGCGCCACCACGCCCGGCAACCATAATCTATTGGTGCTCCTAATTTTTCCTAAAAATAAGAGAATTATAAAACGTAACACATTTCCTGAAACATTTCCAATTTATATGGCTGTAATTTAGGCACACCATCAAATTGTTTGACTTTTAACCTTCCTGTTAGATTAAAAGAGATGGCTACAACGTGGTTGTTGATAGGTGGTGATACACACTGCACTGTCTAGCGTATGAAAACCAAAACATAAACTATCAGCGCTGAGGAGAAAAAGACAAACAACGAAAAGAAAACTGTCTTTAACATGTTAGCTTTCGACAACCGCAACTGTTAGTAACAATTCAAGAAGTGTACAGCCTTGGCAGAGGGTCCCAAGCTGAGACTTGCTTTTCTAATCTAACTATGAGAGCACAATCATTCTTCCTCAAAAACACTAAGCTACACAGTCTGAAAGGACAAAAGTATAATCTTGCATTTGCAGAACCGAATTCTTTTTTGCAGTTACGGTTACGTGTAGAATAAAATGAGTTAAATAAGAGCCCTTCTCCCTGTCTTAGATTACAAGAGAGTGTGTGAATGAGACCATCTGAGGTGAGCGTTTCATGAAAGGAAATGCCTGTTTACCTCTGATCCTGATTCAGCTGCCGTGTTGTGTATGTCCTCAATCTATTGAATGAGAATTTCATATCGTTACGTTACATTGGATTCCTGCTTCCTCCTTTAAACATACGACTGAAAAGGAATTCAGCGTGACTGACAGTAAATTTTCAAATGTGTAAACTTTGAAATATTTTATGTTGCTCCAAATTAGCCACGTGTCCTTTTAAGTGGAGATTAAACCTGAAGTAAATTTTTGCATCTTGAGGTCAATACCCAGGGAGAGGCAGATTAAGAAAAAATTAAGATAACGCCTACCTTTGTAAATCTGGAAAATGAATAATGGACCAGACCCCTTGACCTGGCTGTGAGCCTACCAGCAGCAACTATTAATTTTATTAGCAGTTTAAACTGAAAGACACAGAAACATTCTTCCACGATTTGCCTCTGCCCCAACAAAAGAAAAATGTGTCATCAGCAATCAAGTAATTGTCATGATTATATTTACAACACAGGGAAAAAAGGTGACATCATAATAAAATGTGGTAAAACATTTGTGTAGGCTAACTTAGAAGGGAAAAGAATTCTGGAATTCATAATGTTTTCTCTGTATTTTGACTAGATCTAAAAAGGAAAAACCCTCATTTAAAAAGTGAGAACTCCGCTGGGCACCGTGGTACATGCCTATAATTCCAGGGCTTTGGGAGGCTGAAGCAGGAGGTTTGCAAGTGCGAGGCCAGCCAGGACAATTTTTAAAAGCTCTGGGGACGCAGCTCAGTGCAAAGACCCTGGGTTCAGTCCCGAGTATCACAGTCAATCAGTCAGAGCTCAGGGGGGCTGTTTCTGTTAAAAACATATCAGGTAGCCTGCAGGGCAGGCTAGTGTACTTCTCAAAGTAATATCTGAAAGAAGATATCTGATGTAACACTGCAGCGTTTGAGATCTTAGAAAAAGAAAACATAAGAGCAAAATAGGGACCACAACAAAGTAAAACTTCAGCACTCGGGAGGCTGAGGCAGGAGGATCGTTGCGAGTTCGAGACCAGCCTGGGCTACAAAGTGAGCTCAAGGCAGCCTGAACTGCATAGCAAGACCCTATCTCACAGAAAACACAAAAAAAGTAAGATAAAATAACTAAATAATATCAAGTCAAGATTTTCCCTCAGCAGCACTTGGGAGGCTGAGGCAGGAGGATTGCTGTGAGTTTGATGCCAGCCTGGGCTACATAGTGAACTCAAGGGCAACTTAAACTACACAGCAACTCAAAAATTTTTTTATTCTGACATCCAATACACAAGTCGTATTCAATTTTAATTCACCATAAAACCCTAAAATCTTAGGGCCGGTAAGTTCTTGCAGTCACTCATTCACCCCAGCCCCCAAATGCAGACATCCCTGTTACAGCGTTTCTGCGTATGGCTCTGCACAGCTGGAGTCTGTAAGGCAGCATGAGACTCCTGGCTGTCTTTTCTCCTTGTATTCAAAAACACAATGGAGAGGCTGGGGATTTAGCTGAGCAGCACAGCGCCTGCCTGGCAAGCACAAGGTTATGAGTTCGATTCCCGGTACCGGAAGAAAAACAAAAACAAAATACAATGGATTAGATTAGACCTGAGTGGAAAGTGCACTTAGGTTTTAAAATTAAACTTTACATATTTACAAGATGAAAGTACTTTTAATACTTTGCTCTGCCGACATATCTTTAGTTTAACAGGCCCCAAATTTTATTAACCAGGATTCTCTGGCCCCCCTGCCATGTAGCAGGTATGTGGAGTGACTAAAAAAAATGGTTTTCTTTTAGGATTTTTTTTTCCATCACTCTCTGAAAACCCTATGTCTTCATCATATTCAAGGACAAGATGTAGTCATTAATATTAACATTCATTAATAATAACATCTTGTCTTATGATTTTTTCAACACACACAATTTTAAAAAATTTTTTTTGGGGTCTCACAGTAGTACAGGCTGGCCTAGAACTCACACAATGATCTTCCTGCCTCGGCCTCCTGAGTGCTGCAATTATAGGGGTGCACCCCCATACCCAGGCCACACAGACAAGTTTTTTAAAAAACCATTGCCTTCCGGGTGTGGTGGTGCACACCTGTAATCCCAGCACTCTGGAGGCTGAGGCAGGAGGATCACTGTGAGTTCGGGACCAGTGTGGGCTACAAAGTGAGCTCAAGGCCAGCTTGAATTGCACAGCAATACCGTCTCAAAAAGACAAAAAAAAAAAATAAAAACCACTGCCTATGTACTCCATTTTTGAGGTTGAAGTGGCTCCGAAACTCTTAGTGCTGTAAAAGGATACAGACGCAGCTCAGCATGGTGGCACACGCCTATAATCCCAGCACTGAGGAGGCTGAGGCAGGAGGATCACCTCAAGTTCCAGGCCAGCTTGGATCATACAGTGAGTCACTACAGTACCTTAGTATGTAGTCAGTTTAATGCCAGCCCAAACTACATAGCGAGATCCTTTCTCAAACAACAAGAAAGGCAGGGAATGGGAGAGAGGCCATCGTCCAAGCATGCATGTGATGTATGAAATGTCACGCCCCGGTTATTCTATATAATTAATATGTGCAAATGAAAGAATTCCAAACGAAAAACTTAAAAGTTGACTAAACTCATGTACATATGCACTATTTTCTGCCAAACACCATATATTTTAATTATGAATTCTCAGTGCTGGGGATACGGCTCAGCGGCACAGTGCCTTGCTCGGCATGCACAAAGTCCTGAGTTCAATTCCCAATACCAAAAAAAAAAAAAAAAAGACCAGCTTGTCACGTAGTGAGACTGTCTCAAAAACAAACCAACAAAAAACCCTCTAAAAGTAACTATATATTCTATTATTTTGTAGCTTACAAAATAATTACATTACCTATATATGCTTACAATTTATATTAATTCTCATATATTATAATTTTATGTCCTTGTAAAATTTCACTGCAAAATGAATGTTAATGACTACGAGACTTGAATGTTTAAGTATTTTTACTTAAGACTGTTTTTAGGTTAGCGGCTATTAATACGTTTACATTGCACTAAAGTATTTTAATTAGGAAACATACTGATTAGTTTTCCTTCAGAAAATTAGTTTCAGAAGCAAATGCCCACTTGATAGCGAGGGTGTACCTGCTCGGCCCTCTTGGCTAATTCACGCTGTATTTTCCGCTTTTCTAGCATGTCCTGCTCGATTCTGCGCCTCCGCTCCTCCTCCGTTCTCTTCCTTTGTTCTTCCTGTCTTTGCTTCTCCATTTCAGCAAATTTACCTTTAACCGTACCTAAGAGTGCATGAAGAGACAGGTGCTACTCTGCTGTGTTTCCTCTTCCTGAGATTTTGCTTACAACCGACCGCTCTGGCCCCTTACCTGTTAGCTTTGGGACATAAGCCTTCTCCACTTTAGAAGACACCTCTTCGTCCTCCTCAGAAGCAAGCAGGTCCTTCATCTAGATGGTTAAATAAGTCAGGATGAACACAGGTCCCCCAGTTAGCTCAGTCAGTAGCAGCTGCCCCGTCCTCTGCCGGGGGGCGCCTTCCACCGCCCCGGCGGGGCTCAGCGGCAGAGACTGAGCCCTAGGGGAACTCAACTTCTATATCAGGCTTGGAAAGACAGTAACAATCGCTCCTTACAAAACAACAATGGTCACATCTGAAATCAAATGCATTTAAAGTTTATGAGTTGTTTCGTGCTTGAATTGTCCGTTTAATCTTTTCAGACCAAGAATAATGGCAGGTAACAGTCACAGTAAAAAGTAAAACTGCAGACAAGGGCTGCTTCTCACTACGGGACTCTAAATGAGCTCACAAACACAGGAACGCCCTTTCATCCCAGCAAAGGTGCAGTGTTACCGTGCATGTTAAGTAATAGCACTGAAGGGTCGAGGACAAGGGTGGGAATGAACGTTAGCGCAAGGATAAAGACAATAACCTCCTGCTTCCTCCTGTTCCACTCTCTCTCTCTAATATATTGTTCTTTTCTTCTTTGCTTTTCGTCTCTAGACCGCCTCTGGTTTCTTTCTTCCCTGGCTCTCTGCATGGCTTCAAACTTATCCTTTACGTCACCCTTGCCAAGTCTGGGCACATAGGACTTGGAGACAGGTTTAGACGAAGAGAGCAGAATCTTCGTTAGAAGAAAACAAAGAGAAGAAAGTTAAAAAAAAAAATAGGAAGAAAAGTAGGTAAAGATAAGAGTAATCAATATAAAAATACTTGTAGAAACACTAAATAGAAATGAGCTTGAAACATTTATTTGGACCATAACAACCTGATTAGGTAATCTCTATAACCCCAGTGTGGAAAATGAAATTATAGAAAAACAGGAGAAATTTTATTAACATAAAGTTCTTCTTTAGGAAAGAAGTCCCATTTTATGAAGACCAGTAAAATATAACAATCAAAAACTGAAATCTAATGAGAAAACAACCTGTATTTTATTGCCTCTATTGATTGGCCTTGAACTCACCCTGTAGCCCAGGTAGGCCTCAAACTTGCAGTCAGGTGATCCTCCTGCCTCAGCCTCCCAAGTACTGTAGGCATGTACTGTACCACCACACCAAGGTGAGGCCTTTTTGTTTGTTTTTGTTTTCTGAGACAGGGTCTTGCTGTGCAGTTCAGGCTGGCCTTGAGCTCACTATGTAGCCCAGGCTGACTCCAAACTAGCAGCAATCCTCCTGTCTCAGCCTCCCCAGCTAAGGTTTTTTTTAACTGTATTATTTTAGGATGTCAGTAACTGAGGTCATTTTAAAATTCTCAGTAACTATAACAAAGAACCAAAGAGAGAGTAAGAGAAAACTTATTGCAGCTATTAAAAGAAGGGTCCTCACATAAGAGTCAATTATCAGTTTCTCCTGTAATTCAAACCTGGGTGTTTTTTTAAATACTAACAGAACAACTTCTAAGACTCTCCAAGACATTTAAAATTGTGCTCAAGGAGCTAGCCATCCTACCCACCCCTCTACCACTCCCAAGTTTAGTAATCAAGCTTCCTAGACTCCAACGAAAATACTGACCCAACCACAGCCTGTGGATTTAGCTCGTCTTGTTTTTCTTTACATTATATCATTAATCATGAGCTTTTCATCCAATGAGTGCCCTTCCAACGGTGCTAGGGTCAACCCTACATTTCCCTCTTTTTTTTGAAGTTTTTGGGACTTACCTCAGCCTTCTGGGAAATCTCGTTCATGTTTGCTGTGTGTGGTTTTAGGCTGATGATGCTTTGTGTATTTTTCCACCTGCAAAACAATGTTTTAATATTTTATAAGAAGCTTAGGGGCTGGGGATTTAGCTCAGCGGCACAGTGCCTGCCTGGCAAGTGCAAGGTCGTGAGTTTGATTCCCAGTACCGGAAAAAAAAAAAAAAAAAAAAAAAAAAAGAATTTTAATGGCCCTACTTTAATATGTTATGCATTTCTGTACATAGAAACCACAAATTAATTTCTCCTAAATAATGCAAGCAAGTAATAAATTGTGATAACCTTCAGCTCCTTGTCCCAAGATTCAGGGTATAGATGACACAGGTTCATGGAGTTAAAGATGAACACATTAGGTGAAAAGGGTGTGTGTTCTGAAAACATTCAATGTATTATTCCACAAATATCAAATAGAGCAAGGCAGTTGGTCATGTTTTTAGATCTTCTATCAGTCTTCAACTATGAAGAATTTCCCATCTCTCCCTTTAATTCCATCATTTTGTTTTCTGTAATTTCAGGTTTTAAAACATATACACATTATAATTATACCATCTTCTTTTGGAATTGATCCTTTCATCAATTGAAATTTCCCTCCTTACCAGGTGTGGTGGTGCACACCTGTAATCCCAGTACTTGGGAGGCTGAGGCAGGAGGATCACTGCAAGTTTAAAGCCAGCCTGGGCTACACAGTGAGTTCAAGGCCAGCCTGAACTACAAAGTGAGACCCTGTTTCGAAGAAAAAAAGAAAATTCCCTCCTCTTACGTCATTATCTTGAACTTATCTAATATTAAAATAGCCACCCCAACTTTCCTAGGTTTGCAATTCGGTGTGCAACTTTCTATCCATTGACTTCAACGGATTTCTGTTTTTATGGATTAAGAATTTCTCTTAGACGTAGCGTATAACTGGACCTTGCATTGAAAAATCAGTTTTGATGATATCTGCCTTTTCAGTATTTCACTCATAACCATTGGGTCTACTATTTTATAATTAATTTGGGGGGACTGGGGCTTACTGTGTTGCCTAGGCTGGTCCCAAACTCCGGGGCTCAAGTGAGCCTCCTGTCTCAGCCTCCCAGGTAGCTGAGTCTACAGGCAACTGCTTTAATAGACTATTCTCTAGAGCAGTTCGGGCTCACAGCAACCTCGTGCAAGTCACACACCTTTCTCGTACATAACGTGCACAGACTCCCCCATTCTCCCCACCCCAACGCCGCGTGCAGAGCAGCACAGGTGAGAAACGGGACCTTCGCGCGGGCATCTTGATCGCCCGGAGCCCGGACAGTGCGCACTCGCGCGCATGCGCCCCTGCAGGTGGCCCGCAGCTCCGCGCCCCACGTGTGCGTCCTCCCCGTCCCCGCCCCGCCGCGGTGCCGACTTCTTCCCCGCGCGGCCGTGCCTTCTCCGGGACGCCTGGCGGCGCCTGCCCCTCCGCCTGGCTCTTCCGCCGCGGCCG